TAGAAGTGCTATCCTTGTGATTTACAAAGAAAAATGACAGCAGCATTAATTACTCTGTGTTTGAGGAAGAGGTGGAATGACGTGAATTGAAATTTTTATGGATAGTCAGGAAAAGGACCAAGACCTGTCCAACCGGGGTGAAACTTGCAGACAAAAACTGTGATCAGAAGTCACTCAAGCAAATGCTGTGGAGGTGGATTAGATGGTGACATTGTGAAGGGATTACCTTCGAAGGGAGCACCTCTCTGATAAACTTGACATAGGTTGCTAGGGGCACTCAGAGGCTTTTAGACAGAGTTGTCTATTTTCTGCCCTGGCATCTGGTACCTAAAACTGCAGAGGCAGAAAGCTGTCGAAACATGAAGTCAGGGTAGATGTGTTTCTGTACACACTTTACTCAGTCTCCTTCTGAATGATGATGGAGTAGCATTAGAGGATTGTAGGCACTTCTGCACTACGGCTTAGAGTTTTAGGTAGTGATAAATCAGTTTGTAGAAAAATTTTCTTCATTTGCATGCCAGGCTCCTAGCCAGTAAGCCAAGTCAAGAAATGAACAATCAGGCCTGAATTTACAAGGAAGCAACTGTTCTGAGCAACTATGCACAGATGTTGATGAAAGAAAAAAAAAAGATTCGGATTAAGACTCCGAGCCATAAATTGGAATTAATGAGCTGGTTTGGTTCTGGCATGGCTTTGGTAGCGGGAGAGGGGCCCTAGGGGCGGCTCCTCTAAGAAGGTACTAAAAGCTTCCCAAGCTCAGGTAGCCAAGGCTGCATCGTTAGAAAGACAATAGATGCGCCTCTGTGATTAATGTATGAAAGAACTGATGTAAGACCTGAGCAGAGCAAGCAGTGGGGAAAAAGCTTTGCTGGAGCGGTGAGAGCAGTGCTGGAGTGAAGATCCCAAAGTTGGTGGGGAAGAAGGGGAAAAAGGTGCCCAAGCAGAACCTATGGCGACATGGCAGGATGTCCCCCTGCATTTGTGGTGGAACATTCCCTGAAGACTCCAGGAGGGGTGATCTTGGATTTGCTGCCAGTGGATTCTGATTACACAGCTTTGGAAGCCCCCGGGCCAGGAGAGGTGTCTGTTCCCAAAGCCCCCATGACTCTGTGGGAAGCCCAGGCTGGAGCAGCTCCGGACCTCGTGGGAAGGACTCAGGAAGGAGAGGTTCTTGGAGAACTCTCTCCCTTGGGAGGGACCCCGTGGGGAATCAGGGGAGGACTGTAAGGAATTCTTTTCCCTGAGGCTGAAGAAGCGGCAGGGAACAACAGACTGTGAACTGACTTTAAACCTCATCCCCAGTCCCCCTGTGCCACCAAGGGCAAGGAGGGAGAGAAATCAGGCACAAAGCTCCCCAAGTTGAGTCTTTTTTGCCCATGACCATAAATGGTGAGTGAAATCCTCCTTGTCCGTGTCTCGATCCATGAGCTTCTAGTTGGTCTTTGTCCTCCCTATCCCAGTGAGCAGCCACGCGGCTGGTTCTCCGTTGTCAGGTTAGCCCCAAACCATGACAATTAGTCAGCCTATATTACCAAAAGGAGCCAGTTTTAGGCTTATGCTAGCTGCAGATATTACTTCAGCAGAAAAATTTCTCTCTTATAAAGTTTTTTTCAATGTCTTCCATATTTTTGTCTTTTTTTTCCCATGTGAGAGTCACTGATGTTTCTGAAAGTACAAGCAACTTACAAAAATCTCTGTTTAGCCCAAAGTCACAAGTCACAACACATCCCTCTGTGAGCCAAGCTCTAAGAGTGTGTCAGAGATGAAAGGTAAGAATAACCTCAAGGGCTGTCACCAGTCTGTACGGGATGGAGTGTGAGTGACCATAGAGCTGTGACATGTGCTGCTTAAGCAGCACCAGCCTTAGCAACTACTGCTGTCTCATTTCCTCTAGCACTGGGGGACTCAAATTACCCAGAAACCTCTCACTAACATCAACCTGCTACTGGTCAGCTGAGAGAGGCTTGGCTTGGAACCCCCACCTGCACTTTTCAAGAGCTGTGGTTTCTTCCCCACTGTAAGGATTTCAATGACAAAACCACAGCAGACATCCTAGAAACAATCCAATGCAACCACAGTTGTATTGTCAGGTTGGGATCAATGTGTTTGCTACATGCTGACAAATACAATTTAAAGGGTCAGTCATTCCCTTCCCCCTTTCTGGCTGTTCAGTTTCCCACCTCCACCAAATAAAAGTTTTTCCCTCCATCCTCTATGCTCCATTTCCACTTATTTTGTTTGTGGTCTTTAAATCATATCTGTGAAATGATCTATCTTAAGTTTCTACTAAACAAATAAACAATCGTCACAACTCCCCAGTTTTATTTAGTACATTTCTCTGGGATGGAAAATAGCCTCAAAATATCAGGCTTCATAAAACCTGGAGTATGTTGCTCTCTTGCACATGAAGAGGCTGGGCATTATATTATTTGAGATCAAAAAAGTAATTTACAGCTGCAGCCTAAAACCTACCTCCATTATATGTTGCCTGTTTCAGCTCAGATCCCTGTCTGGGACAAGAGCTCTCTCTGATTCCATGTTTGTAGAGGAGGACTTAACTCACACACACATTTTTTCTTAAGGAGTTAATCCCTAGACACAATCCCAAAGAGCATGACAGAATATTAGCTAAAGCTGAGCCATAGTTCTATACTTGGACTGAATGTAGATTACAACAAAGAATTCTTTTAAAGAGTTATGGTCAGTTCCTCCTCTTCTTGACTGGTTATATTACCACAGTCACATACATGCATCTCCTCTGGTTTCAGTATAGTGGCAGCTGTTGATACATTCATTGCAAACTTGGCTTCCTATATTGGCAATGTCATGAGTCCTACTACAATTCCTCACACATGTTCCTCTTAGAAAGTCCACTAGAAGAAGGGTAGTTCCCTAACATCTTATTCAGACAATAGTACATTTTGAATTTTTGTTGGTTACAAATAGCTAAGAATCATCAGGGCCGGCATTTTGCTGAAGCACACTTAGCTTTAAAAAGAATGTCATCAATTCCACATGAAAGTAATTCAAGACTTTTAGAATATTTTTTAAAGTAGGGTTTCCATTTATATCTTCTTTCAATACAGAATGAGCACATTGCTAGGATTTTGTTATCTGCATCCTAACTGTGAGATTCCATCTCTGTTTACAAGCATCACTGTTTACAACAGGCAAGTTGAAAACATTTTGCTCTGAAGTGTGATCATTGAAACATGTTCTTCATGTGTGTCCAGGACTGTTCAAGGGTTAGGAAAAAGAGAATAAATTATCTGATGTCTGCACTTGTAGAGAAACCCTACTATAGTATGAAAAGTATTTGCATTATTTTTAACATATGTTACTATTTCCATATAATGTGTTAACCAAGACATGAGTAAACTACAAAGCTATCGACCTTGCTTTGCTTTCTTGCTTAACTTATGTATTTTGTGTCAGTGTGACAAAGGCAGTTGTCAGAAGGTAGGAAGAAATGCCTTGTGCAGGTGATAACATTTCTGAATAGTGAAAACCTAATTCTCCACTTTACATACAGATTTTATGACCTTACAGATCATTTCAGAATAAGCACTCATGAATTTTCTGCAGTAAACGGTAGGAGAGTAAAGAAAATTGGTGAGCTGATTTTAAGACAGAAAGTGATGCATTCTGGAAAAAATCTTGAGATAACAGAGTAGGGCCTGAACTGAAAAAACCCTGTATACAAACCTATCACAGGACACTGTGCTTAGACATTCACTCACTGCTCCTACTGAAGATACAGCAGCTGCAACAACCCTCAAATGCATCCTCACACCTCATATAGTCTGTCTGATGGACCAGATGTTACACAAATAGGTGAGAAGTTGTAGACTTGTTCTTTCCATAAACTAGGAAGCCATTGTTGAGCTGGTCTCAATGAGCCTATTTGGTTTTTATAGGACAATCTTCCCAGCAGACTTTAAAAGACTTTAAGGAGATCAATACCATTACTTTTATCTTACAGCTATGGAAAATGAGGCATAAAAAAAGAGAAATTACTACACTGAGACAATCTGGCAGGCTGATGCCAAAGACCAGAGTGAGATGCAGGTTTCATGTGTTCTAGTCCAAACCAGTATCAAATTTGTATCTTTGCATCTGGTACAAAACTGTTCCGGTTCAGTGACAAGAGTTAAGCATGGTGTTCCTTAATACATTTTTATACATTTCCAGCAGATAAAGCATAAGAGGTGCCATGTGGGTGGAACATCCCAATGCCGTCACCTCCTGCTTGTGCCCACTTTTTGCAAATCTTCCAGCAGAGAGCAGCTTCCTACACTGGGGCAGAATCAGTTTGCATAATGTTCTAAAGCCCTCCTACAGTGGCACTACATTTGAACTGTTGCCAAATACCATCTTCCCACTCAGTCAGTGCTGTTCTCTACTGGCTCAGTTTTGTGAACTGAAATAGGTAAGGACATAATTTATCAGCATTATAGTAGGAGACTATGGCACATGGATTAAACAGAACCTCTTTGCAATGGTGTCCTGAAGCTATTACAACTGTATTCAGAACTCACATTTTTAGCAAATTCCTGAATGTCTGTATTCTCAAAATCAGAAACCTCAGAAGAATTCACTATGGTCTCTGCATCTTCTTTCAACTATATGAAAACACTTCTATTTCTTGTTAGGAACCTCTTCCTATTCCTAATACATAAGAATCATACAACTAATTGTATTCATTTTTGCTTCAGCCACTGCTTAACACAGAAACACCTTCTATGATCCATACTGCTGGATTTTAGAGTTTAGGGCAATCTAGAGCTACTAGGATAAGTAGTAGTTTATCTACTACTAAAAGAATCTCCATCAGAATGAAAAGTATTATTAATATTAGAAAAGAAAAAAAAAACAGGGACCATCAACGACTGCACTGATGAGAGCTCATTGATTCAGCTAATACACTGATAAGATATTGACAAGCACAACTTCACTTAGAATGTTATAGCAAGCATTGTAAAGTAATAAATCCAACTTACCTGCGAAGAGCTTCTGTGGTAAGCTGAGTAGTGAAGTGGTCCAGAAATAGCAGTATCATGTGGTAAGGATGGATACTGACTCTGCATTGGATGGGGATGCTGGTTGCTATAGCTGCCATAGTTGTAACTTCCTGTATATCTAAAACCCATTTGAAAACAGCATTTAGTGTGCATAATCATTGTATTGACACTAATAATTCTATAACTTTCAAGACGTTTATTATTATCATTATTGTTGTTATTATTATTGCCTAGGAGAATGTTATTTTAAATAACCTTTTTAAAAAAAAGACATTTCACAGCTCAGCCAGCAAACAGATGCCATGTAGTGAAACTGTTCAGGACATCAACAGACTCAGCATGTTTCTTTGGCTAGTTTTAAATTTCACACTCATTTGTGCGCTTCCTAAGGACACAATGTCTTTCCTTTTTATTATTATTTTATTGCCATGTTCCTAGTAAATTGCTGTCCAGGCTGAGGAAGTATGGTAAGATTTTATTTAAATAACTACCCTGTGAAGTTCAGCTATCTCCTTGCACTGGGGTCAGGCGTTCTCTTTTTTGTGAGGGACAGAGGTGTATTAATTTGCATCTGAATCATACAACATATAGCTTTAGCACAACTGACACAAGAACAGGGTGGTATTTGAGTATGGAGAAGCTGCCTACATTTTGTTTATTCCAGGTTCTTGTTCAGGGACAGGTCAGGGGGAAAGGAAGGAGCAGTTTCCTTAGCCTTAAGAAACTACACCGTCAGTGTTTCTTGGCCACCATTATTTGGGTTATTCACTAGAAGATGCATGGACACTTTCTGCAGCCTCCCCATCTTTGTGTAGCCATGCAAACATTTGATGCTAATTCAAGAGAGAAGTTTAAAGGCTCTTAAAATACATGCTGTTGAAGTGAAACACAACACGATAAATAAACAGAGTAACCAGTTCATTGTGAGAAGACAGTTACTTGCATAGGTACTTTCTGGATAGGTCAATATAATTTTTACACTTGGTGGAGTTTAAACTTCTATTCTTTTGATTTTATTATGGTATTCTAGAGACACCATGTCTTACACCAGCCAAACCAGCAGTTTCAAACTGAAAACAGAGAACCCCTTCCAAGAACATTTTTGGGACGTAAGGTCCTATGTCCATCTTCATTTTTCAGCATTGAGCTCTTATTCTCATATTCACTTGTTCTAAACTGTTAATGTAAGTGGTTTGTGTAATCTACCTCAGAGAAGCTGCTGTTCATGTGATGCACATTTGATAGGCTCCCTGTGGAGAGTATGGGAGAGAGAAAGGGCTGTGTCATGGAGCTGTTTCCCACTGTGGTGGTGGGCAAACACCTTTTGCTTTAATTCCTTCAACACGATGGACTGATAAGCAAGAACTGTAGGATATGTATAAGCCTGGCATTTCACAGTGCAGTCTTCTCTGCTTCAAGATGTTGGCCTATCTAGTCCCTCCTGTAGTCTGGGGTGCCCTTGGACTCCCAAAGCCAAGTCCTGTAAGGTAGTGCTTGCATTTCATGCTTTCTCTAGTCATTATGGATTCTATGTCCTAGTCTGGAATCTTCTCTCCTTCATTTAAACACTCATCACTTTCACCAAAATATAGAACTTTAATTCACTTGAGCATGGAGTTATAAAGTTTCTCTGTTGTGTACTTTTGGTTAAAGAAGCTTCTTCTGTCACTCTCCAACTTCAGGAGAGAGAGCACTGAGCACATGAGATGGAGAAGACCATGCTCTTTCAAGTCTAATATTTTCCTGCCTATCTGAAAGTGTTTGGCTGAGGAACTCGACATCTCTCTAAGAAGGTCGTGTGACTGAAAATGTAACAAAAATGTTTTCTGCTAAGTACCATGTCTTACAGAGATTGCTGAACCACTTATGTAGTCATTGAGTTGTGGGTACAATACACAGATGGCATATCTTTGGGAAAGTCCAGCTGGGAACTGGCAGCTACTCTGGAGTCTAGCAGCTATGATTCAGAAAGAATGGTCAGTTGACATTACAGAGAGTAATGCAAACTCCTGCATCTGCAGCATCAGAACATCAGTGGTACAGGCTGGGGCCATTTGGAGAGAAAGCAGCTTTTCTAAAAATTGCCTGCAAGTTCTGGTGGACAAGAAGTTGAATGTGAGTCACCAGCAATGAAGAGGCCCAGCTACATATTGGGCTGTATTAGCAGAAGTGTGGACAGCAGGCTTAGGGAACTGATTATTCTCTGTTTGGCACTTGGGAGACCACACCTGGAGTACTGTGTCCTGTTTGTGGCTCTCTACCATACAAAAGACACTGACATGCAGGAGTGAGTCTAGTGGAGGGCCGTTAAGAAAGAGAGGGGACTGAAGCACGTGACTTACAGGAAGAGAACTGGGTTTGCCCAGCCTTAAGAAGAGAGGCAAAGGGATGATCTACAACTATCTAACAAGAGGTAACAGACCAGCTAGAGCTGAACTCCTCTCAGAGGTGTACAGTGACAGGGTGAGAGGCAACAGGGGAAAGTCCCATTATATACAGGTTACTTTCTTCTATTAATACCACAGATGTTTCATTTACAGTCCTGAAACTACACACATGTGGAGAAGACCACTGTGGAATTAGAGGAAGATTTACTGGAGTGAGATAGATTATGAACCTTGTGCTCTTCTCCCAGCTATAAGGTTTATTTCAGTAATGGGGAACAGATCATGTAGCCCTTTCTTGATTTCTGGTAACATGCATTTGGCCTTCATCAAATTTTATTTTACAGGGAGCAGTTTCTACCACAGAACTTACATGTTATTTTCTATAACTGGCTCGAAGCACAGAATCACAGAATCCTAGGGGTTAGAAGATACTTCGAAAAATCACCTAGAGTACATGACAAATGTTTCTACAAATCAATGCAACAGTCCATATTTCAGCCTACAGCAGTTTATATCAAATTCTCTCTTGGGAACTACTAGGGCTTTATGTTTTTCCAAGGCTTCAGCTCTTAAATGTCTTCATCTGGCAGAATATTGTGGAATAAAGCACTCTTCTCTTTCTCTCTCAAGATGTTTTGGAGCCTTTATATTTCACAGGGAATCATCTTTTGTGTGCAAGATTGGTAGTAACCCCAGTAGAACTGCTATTAGGGGACTTTCAGCTATGCTGGGTGGCTAAGAGTGTGTATTTAGTGAGAAATGTAGCAGGGGAATGGCTCGTGGCCTCCATACTGCTCATGCTGTCTGCTGAGTCGTAGAATCACTGAACTATTCAGGTTGGAAAAGACCTTTGGGATCACCGAGTCCAACCATCATCCCTACTCTACAAAGTTCTCCCCTAAACCACATCCACCAACACCACAGTCCCCCCAAGAAACCAGGAAGTGACTTACCCATGCTCTTCTCTGTGGGGATAAACAGGTATCCGGTGTGTGACAGATGATGATGGCACATGTGGACTCCTCATGCAGGGAAGCTGTTGGGAATTTTCAGCAGGTGACCCAGCAGCTGTTGTCACAGTGTAGGTGAGTGACCACGTATAGGATTGCATAGCTCCTGCAGACAAACAAGCATTAAAGGAGTAGGGGTAACATTGGTTGTTGTTCATAGAGGTGTTATGTTGTGTGATGGTTCCACAAAAGCAACCTAATAGGTATTGATACTGGTAACAGCATCAGCCAAACTGAACAGAACATTTATGTCCCAGGCATACGTGAAAACACAAACATATTAGCTGAAGTCTGCAAAGATCCAGAGGTAAGAGATGTATCTGGAATAGCTCAGATTGTATTTGTATTGTATTGTACTTTGAAGCTGTCATTTTTCAGAAAAACTGGGATAGGACTTAGAAGTGGGGGAACAGCAGTGGTAGTGTTTCTCAGGCGTGATGCACTGAACCCTGGGGTCTCTCTCACATGGAGGGGGCTGCTGGCCTGTTCAGCTCTGAGGCTGATCAGGCCTGGAGTGAGGCAGGAAGTACGATCAGAACAATGAAGGATTAGAAAAAGATTGGTGTTATGCAAATACTTGAATCCTTTTGCAGTTTGCATCCATTCCACCCAACTAGGTACCAGCCTTTGTGGTGGCAACACAGTTGCAGATCCCTAAATCATAATAAAGATATAGATTGAAATAGCCTAGCTATTTGCTTCAGGCAAATAATGTTTCTTTCTTCTTTCGAGGCAGCAGGGACTGGACTTAATTTATTTTTTCATGTAGAGCATTTGTGGGAAGAGCAAAGCAAAGAAGTGGGTTTTCCATTTTGCTTGGAAGGTGCTGAGTTTTTTAATCATCCTGATCCCTTCCAGGCAGGAACTCCAGATTCATGAGCCAGCTGCTGAGAAACCTTTGTCCTTTGCACACACCCCTTTCACTCAGGAGGCTGACAGATCCATTGTTCCCATATAACACAGCTCTTGCTGGAGGTCATGACCATACTGGCTGAGATTACCCTGCAAATGAGGACCAGAACACTGAATTTAACCCAATGCTAACGCTAGATTGCGGGTCTCTGGGCACTCGACTCTTTTTCAGTAGCTAAAAGGAATTGCAGGAGGTGACTCCATTTTTATATTTTTTTTTTCAGTGTGGATTGCAGGACTTCCTGTAGTATGAAAGGGCCTAATTCAGAGGGGGAAGTAATTGTATTACCAGGTCTGTGTCCACCCCATTGGCTTTTCAGAATGAAAAACCTATGTCAGAAGTGTGTAACTTTCTTCAGAAAATGTATGTGATTTTATTTGGCAAAATCAGACAAACTTTCTTTTTTTTTTTTTAATTAATTGGGAAGTGCTTAATTCTGGGTGTGAACAAAGGCACTCTGAGCTTCAGGAGGTAAGTCCAGCTTGAAATATTCCAGCAGGCGTGATTTGCTGCTCTTACAGTAGAGACATCCTTGGATGGGTAATAACCAGTGATATTTGTGCTTGGTCTGTTTTCACACACCTGCATTTTCTGTCACTAGCTCTTGAATTTTCAGCCTTTCATGTCCTCCCATTGAAAAGGACCCCTAAGATGCCTGAGACCAAAGGGGAGGCATACACATCTGAGCTAGCACACGAGTGCTGCTGTGGCTGTGAGCAGTCACGGCTCCTTGAGTTGAAGAAAAGCGTTTATGAAAACCCACCTTCACTAGAAAAATATCATTTATGTGGCAGGGGACAAAACTACTTACACAGTCATCAAAAAGCTTCATTTGAAAACAAGAGAAAAACTGTTTTGAAAATATCAATCACTTGTCTGCAGAATATTTTGGTGAAACATTTCAATTTTAAAAGGTCAACATATTTTCCTAGTGGCATTTTCCAAAAGAAAATTTGAAACTTTGTTTCAAAACAGGCCTAAATTAAAAAAAAAAAAAAACCAGAAAAAAAGAAAAAAGAAAAGATAACAAAGATCATAAGAAAACCCAAATACTAATTTTTTATGTAACACACTGGTGTTTTTTCATCTTTTAAATTCACAAAAAAAAAAAAAATTGAACAAATTTTATTTTTTCCAAGAAAAAAAAATTGGCCATTGAGCCACAAATCTCATGATGTTCCTAACTCTAACAAGAAGCAGTAATAACAGGGCCAAGAGATCCTTTTAATTTTCCTAAATATGGTTAAACTGACTGGGCCCAGCCATTGTGACAGCCTCCTTTTATTATTTATTTTTTCAAAAAATAGTAGGAATCTTATCTCAGTCTGAGCAAAATTACTCAGTCCAGGACAGCAAGTTGTTTCATTTGCTGCCTGTGGGATGTCAGAATCTGTGAATGAGAGGACTTGGCCATTCCTGGCATTCGAGTCTAACTGGCAGCTACCTCAATTCAATTTTAAAATACACCTTTAGGATGTAACACGTTTTGGCCCCGTCCAGACAACAAATAGAGAGAATACATCTTGCACTGGAAGACTTCTGAATATCTTTGTTTGATTTTCCTAACAAAAAAATTGTCCCCTGTACTACATGCACTTCACACATCTACTGTAGGAAATACTTTGATTTGGAGGATACAGTTTAGAAGCAAATATATGTTGGGATTTACTCTGCATTTGTAAACGGACAGAAAACTGTTCAAGACTTTATTTTTAGGATATTCTTGGGAAGCTACAGTTGTCTCACTTCTCTTTGCCTTCACGAAAGGGATGCCATTTTTTTCGGTGACCTAGTCACAAAGCCAGAGGAAGGACAGCAGAAGAGAACAGATCTGCAAATATGTGCATGTATATATTGGCTCAGGCAGGATACTGCCAACATTGTGGTGGGTGGAAAAGGAGGAACGAGATAAGTCTTTCATAGTCAACTTTTCAGAGTGAGATAAGTTTTTCATAGTTAACTTTTCAATACCCACTTATGTCCCAGCCCTTTATGATTAATTTCCTCAGCTGGCTGCAGAACTGAACTCCAGGAGATGAAGTCTCTTTTAGATATGACTGAACCCAACTGAACTGCTTTCTGAAATAAGCAAAAACAATAGTGATTGAGCAACAGTTTGCTCTGCTTTGTGTTCTGAACATGCAGGGTTTTATTAAAGTAGGGAAGTTCATTTATTATCGCTCCTTTTTCTTTTCTCTTTTAACAAAAAATTTGATTTTGAGGATACTAACCAAGAGGCCATCTGACCCGTAGGAGAGACAAATATAAATGAAAGTGCTATCAGACCAATAATGGCCATGTTTTAATTGATGTCATCATGTACACCAGTGCAGAAAGAAACCAAAGTTGCTTCATAATGCTGCATTTTGTATTTGCTTTACGCTGGAGTAAATGACCACCCAGACACAAGCAAGACACTCACAGCACTGTCTACTATGTCTGATAGCAAGCAGTACTGTCTACCTCAAGTAATCAAAATTCTAGTTTCAGACCCCTAGTCTGCCCCCTCATAACAAACAGATTATCTTAACTATCAGCTTTAGAAAATGTAGAAATCTTTCCATTTGGAAGTGGCAAATTGTCTTTTGAAATTGTAACCTTTAACTTTTACACTCAGAAGCTGTGAGAATTCAACCCTGATTGTTGAATGAGAGCTGATGTTCTCATATACTCATGAGAGTCCCGGAGCTGAAGCTTTAGGAAAAAAAAAACAAACAACAGAAAACAAGTGTCTCCTCTGCCAGATTCCTAGAACTTCAATACCTAGACTAGACTTGGAAGAACAGTGACCTTAAAGGACCATTGCAGACCTGAAGAATTATTTCACACATATATTTCTTGAAACTATACACTAAACTGCATAGATTAGCTTACTAACATACTAGGAACTACTTACAATTCAGAGTTCATTTTGAGTTGCTTAAAAACCACTGCACTGGCAAATGAGTAATCACAGCTTTCAGAGGGAACAGCACAGTCAGCCTTATAGCTACCACTTTTATTACAATATTGTTGCAGCTTGAACAATCATTAATCTGGCCTTTGTGATTTAGACAGGATGGAACCTAATTGTCCTTTTAAATGTCTACTGAGTTAACAAGAAGTTTTTAAAGAAATGTTATCTGAGACGTGCCAGACGTTTGGCCACAGAATGCTATTTATAGGACTTACTTTTCTTTTGCTCAGCATCATGTAATTGCAACAGTTTAATCCAATGGTTTTGTGCTGACCACTGACTAAAGGCAGAAAGGTTAAAATGCAAGTTTAATAGCTAACTTTTATTGCTAGTGCCACAAGCAAGAAAGAGTTAATGATGACTTAACCTGGGCAACAGAGAGCTGGTGATAACCAATGGAACTATTTCTCAAGATTCGCAAATCGTTTGCAGAGGTTTACATTTACCTCATAAAAGACACATAAGAGGATCAATAGAGTGTACTTTAAACATACCTCTGCATAACAGAGGCTCCTGTTCCAAAATATTCTATACATTAAATGCCACAAATCTGTATATGGAGTAGTCTGATTCTGTGTACTACATCTTCAGCACTCTTATTTTAAACGGTAGCAAATTCCTATAGCTGAAACATGGCTGTTATTTTGTATTACTTTATGTGAACAAACCCTGCATTCCAAGGTTTTAGGATTAGAAAACTGAAAAAGTGATCCATTCATCTACATGATGAACATGGGAAATGCAGATATTACTGATAGACCAAACTAAGACCAAGAAATAGCCATATGATTATATTCATACTTAACCATACCACTAGTTGCATTGACAAATCTGGCTTGTGCTAGGCAAAAACTATTTTCACACTTGCAAAAATGAGACTGCACCAGACTGTAAGAATAAAATCTAATTCAACCAGAAGTTTTAAAAACAACATAGAATTAAAATCTGAGGGGAAAAAAAAAAAGAGTTCAAATAATCAGAAATGGCTTTCCTGCCTAAGAGATTCTGCTATGGGAACAATTACATTAAGCTCTGCTGCCTGTACTCTGGGAGAAGGTCCTTCAGCCATTGTTACTGAGATCCTTTTCCTGGCTTGAGACTTCAAATTAACAGAACTTGCCCTTACCAGGACTAAAAAACTTAGAGAGAGGAGAGAATAAAACAGTAAAACAATAAAAAGCATGAGAACTAAAAGGAATCACATTTGTAATGTTTGTGTGTCCATTCCCTTGCATTATTGGAGGGATTCAGGGTGGATATGTAACATCTGTGCAGCTCCCAGGCCTGCACTGATCTGTGCCTGTCAAGTACTTAAATCAAGTGAGCTGAAGGTGGGAACCCAGACTGCTGGCAAATAGGCTATTACAGCAATATGGAATATGCTTTGGGTCAATAGTTAGGTCACACAGAGTTACAGTCTCTGCAGCCTAAACCCAAAGTCCCTCAAATCTCTATTTCTGTCAATGCCACTGGAGAGTACACAATTCCCTATTTCTAGTCTTATATTTCTGCATCATACTAAGTTCTGGTTGTAACATCACAATGAACCCATTGGGCCACACTGTCTATAGCGCAAGTTACCCACAAAGTCAGCATTTCCAGATTCAAGCATACACACCAGCTCCAGCACTGCCTGATCCAAAGCAGTGTGCTCACCTGCCACGTCTAGGACTCACACGTCTCATGTCTGACTGTTCTGGGGGTAATACCAACCCATTTCCCTCTTAAATATAGTCTCCAACAGTGAGGCAACCTTACATCTTGATGTAGGGACAAATGTTCTTAAATCTCTTCCCACCACAACTATGCAGTGTGCTTCCCTGTGGCGCCTTTGAAAACATGAAAAACATTTGTCAGAAAGATTTATTGGTTCTTTAGCCACTGCCAAATTCTCCAGTGTGGTAAATCATCACTTTCTGACATTCTTTCAAAAAGGTTTTGTAACTTTTCTAGTACGTCACCGAAGTGATAGTTTCCACATTCTGATTTATACACCCATTCCTCTGCGAAGCAGCAAAGCTGGAATTTCACTGCCTGGAATGCCTCCTGAAAGTCATTTACATTTCTGCCTTTTTTTTCCATGAGTTAAGAAAACACTGTCTTTTGATCATACAGGCTGGCCATTCTTTCCACATCCAAAAGGTAACGTGTGAGTTTTACATTAGAGTACAGAGGATGGTTGCCCATCTACAAACAACAAGTCAGTTTTGTGCTTATTATTTCTGATAATCCTGCCCACAAGCTGAATACCTTTAAGCACAATTTTTTTTCATCTGTGGGCCTACCAGAATACAACTACCTCATGAGCTGCCATAATAGAGTATGCAACTGGAAAAAGGCTTCAGATAGGTAATTCCTAGCCTCTAACACTGAAAGACGAAATTTATCAATGATGTATAAAACACTCCCAAGAGAAACTTGCACAGCTACTTAGACATATTTGGGTCTCAAATATTTTGAAATATTTCCTATTTTATCTACTAGGACAGTGGAACAGGCTGCCCAGGGAGATGGTGGAGTCACCATCCCTGGAAGTGTTTAAAAGAAATGGACCTGGTGCTTAGCAACATGATTTAAGTGCTGAATGGGCAGATTAAGTTACGGTTGGTGTATTTAGGTTAAGGTTGGACTTGATGATCTTCAAGGCCTTTTCCAACCAGGATGATTCTATAATTCTATCAATTCCTGAACCACTAATGGTTCAGGATTTTTAAAACCTTACCGGACCTCAAAATATTTGGCACATTTCCTTGAAGTATATAACGTTTTTCAGAGAAACTGATTGCCCCTAAAGTCATCAAAAACGCTCAAAAGTGCTATAATCATAAACAATTATTTCAGGGCATTGCTAAAACACTGAAAAATTCAACTTATTTTTTAAAAATGTTCAGAAATAAAATGACAGGTCTGCTCGTGTGAAGGCCTCAGAGACTGAACAGGTTCTGATTCCCCGACGTATGGAATCTCCTGTTAGGCTTTTGGACTTCAAACATCAGATATTTTGTGCATCATGTTTGGATACAGTGAGAAGGAGTAAGTGATATTTTAAACAGATTTCTGTTTGGGAAGGCTTCTCATCTCTTAAAAGCTGGCACATCATGTTCTCAGGTTAAATTTCAGGTGACCAAGTGCAAAAGCCATCTTCAAGCAGATCCAGCTACCGTAAGTCCACCTACCTGTTGTAGCTGCTATGACCCCATACTCCGGGGACTGATTGCTGACAGGTGAGGGGGCAGAGGGCACTTCCACTGAGGTGGCAGATTTTGCTGGGGAGAATGGCCCTGGGGAGGGAGTTGGAAGAGCTGGCTCACTCAGAATAATTTCTTCTTGTAGTTCTGCTGCAGGAAGAGAGAAGACCCATCAAACATAGTTCAAAGTAGAGTATAGGAACAATGGGAAACCAAAAAAAATTAATGCAAGCAGTTAAGTTCTGTAGGCTGTATATCAATAAATGCATAGCAGGATTCACAAAGCTTGAAAGGGTACTTCTATAACATTCAGCATTACAGCCTTCATTGTACCTTCATAAGACATCTTAAAGTGCTGGTTTTAGTGTTGTATAGATAGGACAGGTTGCCTAGGGAAGTTGTGGATGCCCCATCCCTGGAAGTGTTCAAGGCCAGGCTGGTTTGGGCTCTGAGCAACCTGGTCTAGTGGGAGGTGTCCCTGCCCATGCAGGGGGTTTGGAACTAGATGATCTTTAAGGTCCCTTCCAACCCAAACCATTCCGTGACAATTCCATGATTCATAATAATTAATTTATTTAGTGTTAACCAGGGTGAGAGAAAGAATCAAGACTGGGTTCACTGAAGTACAATGGTGGCTTAGACAGATTAACTGAGGTAAAAGGCTGAGTACAAAAATCTCTTGCTGAAAAAACAAGCATGTGCTTAGGAATGGATTCAGACACCCAGAGTTACATTATGAACCAGGCAGACCTCCTCTTCAGAATGTAATAACCAGTGACATCCCCCTCACTAATTACTTATTTCAAATCATGATGGAACCAAAGAACACTTTGCTCCTAGATAAGCCTCATTGAGTTAGAGGCCGATTAAAAAAAATATGACTTAACATACAAAATAGTGAATCTAACGGAACGAAACAATAGAAGATGACTAAACCAATGAACTCACCTGTGCTTCCTTCTCCTTTCATCGCCCTCATTAGCTCATTAGCTCTCTCCTGACAGTGGAGTGATTCTAGCAGGTACAATACGTAGTCATCGAACATCAAGTGAATAAGGTGAAAGGACCCTGGTAATAATGTGAACAAACAGAAAATCTATTGGCTGTTTCAATACTCTCATTAAACCAATGTATTTAACACAAACAGTCTTCAGGACTGCCTCCATATTCTACTGTCACTGAAATATCTCTTATTCAAGGTAAGAGAGGTCAAAGCAAAACTGGGGACTAGCAAACTCTGTTCACTCCTGAATTTATACCACCTTACACAACCAATCATTGTGGTTTAGAAAGCTGCCTAACTGAGAGCCGGGACTTGATGGAGTTTTCTCCTCCTACATTTGCATTGAACCATTTAGACCATTACACTAGAGTGGAATCGTTTCTTTTTTTATAAAGGAACAGATACATGTTTCTGTCAGAAGTAGAATCCTGAATTGGCTTCCTTAGTGACATGTACGGGTATGAATTTTCTGAACTACCCATGACATTGCATAAAGAAATGAGAAACTCATCAATAGGAAGGTAAAAACAATCTTCCCGACCTCCTGAGGGTGCATCTCCAGTACATTGCCTGGACTGGATGAGACATCTGTTAATTGCTAAACATAGAGGCATTAGCAGCAATTGTGGATGTCTTAAATGGAAAGACTTGTGATAAAGATTTGTTCTGTCATACTTCTCCTACTACATTATCTTTTCCTAATTATCAGTTTGAAACAGCAGCAGCACAGCATTTGATCTGTTTCTCTGCTAATCTCTGAAGATGCCATGGGTACTATCTCTTAACTGCCATGACAAGAATGTGAAAAACTTAAGAACTGAAGGACTCAAGGGAAAAATATGGACAAATGAAAATGTGGGAGATGGAGTCAAAAAAACACTTTGAAAATTAATAGTAAAAGGAGATTATACTTGTAGCTGTCTGCCAAAAATCCTCAAGTAAGATTTGAGTACAGATGGAGAAGTTGTTAATGTTGTTAGGAGGAAGGACTGGGTGATGTTATAGACTAGAGTAATGGAAACAAAATTTTATAGCATGCTGTAAGAAGCTCTGCCCTTAGAGATTTGTATCATCCTCTGGTTCATATACTTCCTCTGTAGGAACAGAAGTACTAACTCTATTGCACAAGTCACTGGTGAAACATCATGTAGAATATTGCATATAACTCTAGTCACCCATGTCCATGAAAAACTAGTAAAAATTGAAACTGGTATGGAGAAGATTACCAGGAGCATGTGGGGAATGGATAATAGATTTTAAATTATTAAAAATGCATGGCTGGCTTCATTTTGCAGAAAGGAAGTGAGTTGCTTCCCATAATTTGTAAAGAAGGATCCATGTCAGGGATGGTGAAGAAATGTTTGCCCTAGAGCACACAAAGCCACAAAAATAGTTGTGGAAGAAGAGACTATAGATGCATTTCAGGGGAAAATTATTGGAGCAAAGCATCAGAGCTGAGACATTGTGTAGTGTCTTCCTGAAAGGAATAACATTTATCTGCAGGGGAAGACTGTCAACGATCAAGATGAGCTTGGTCAGCTTATGCAATAGACTCTGTGACACCAAGTACCTGCAATACCTCCAGGTGGGATTTGATCATACCATTATAATATTTAATTTTTTTTAGAGCTCCTATGCTTATTTAGACTTGCATGGAATATTTAAAACATGATCATGTAAACCATTAAATAACTCTGGCAGCCACAAATGCAGTAAGGTTAAAATAATAGCCAGTCCAGCAGCTGGCTTAAACCAGAGAAAGATCACCAGCTGAGAGGGAAACAGAGATTGGCTGCTGCCAGAAAAAAAAAAAAAGCTTCATCTAGATTTGTTCCTTCCGAAATTCCATTTCTACATTTTGAGGAAAAACACTTACATGGGAAAAAAAAGCCAACATGTTTTGAATTCAATTAAATTTCAGAAAGATTGGTTTCTTCACAGGAAAGCTGGGTTTATCTTGTGATACTAGCTTTCTGCACAACAAAGCCTAACTACCCCTACTCCAGCTTCTCTACTCATACTGCTGAAGGGAAGTAGAAGTGGTTTGAAAGACCCTATATCCTCATACAATCCTAGCTGGCAATTCAACTTTCAAAGCGACTCCGAGTACATTGTTTTTCTTTGTGACCTGGATGGTCTTTGTGTTCCATTCTCTCACCCCATGCCTGCGTGGCTTCTGTCACCACTAATACGAGCTGAGCACACACACTGGGAGGGGAACATGTGTCTTTGTGTTCTTGGGCAAGGCAGCACAGAAAAAGGACATACGTGATTGCAACACCTTTGCCATGGGGAGGGAATCTTTGGCTGTTCATGAACCTGAAGCATTCAGTTTTTCATTTCTTTCATGTATCCCTACAAATCAAAATGGCAACAAGTTTGCCCAGACTTGCAAGGGTAAATAGTGGAGATCTTCACTTATATACTGCAGAGAATTTGTTTATAGAAATCCTTTGGGCTCAAAGTCTTGTTAAATAAAATCCTATTCAATTTAGCAGTACAATAGAGAGAGCAGACCAGGCTGATCATCTTGTTAGTGACCTAGGATTTCCCCACTGGAAATCTAGATGATCAACAATCCCCACAAAATGCTCGATCTTCTGAGTACAGTTTTTCAGTGGAAACATTCTATTGACTTCAAGTTACTACTGATAAGCATTTCCAAGGTAAAAAAAACAAAACCAAACAGGCCTAAATGCTGATAAACCTCAAATCACATAAAGCTCAGGGTATTTAGTGTTCCCCATCAAACTCCTTGCTCAAGTTTAATTTACAAAAAAAAAAAAAAAAAAAAAGTAATCAAGTAAAGTTTGTTGTAGTTTCATAAAAATTATTTGGAAGTGCAAACCCTAAGTGCTAAAATGCTAGCAAATGAATGACAAACCCCCAAGATTTGCTATTTTTAAAAAATACCTTTTCTGTGTGTGGGGGTCTAGTGCTTTATTTTGAAGCATTGGGATTGGCAATACTGAATGTAGCATTTAAAAACACTCCAGTGCCCCTGCCACTCTTTTGAATTTCTCTCTTCCTCTCCCATTATTTATCCCACTGTGTATTTTAAAACTCTCTATTAGAGTTTTTGAGCCCAGAATTTGCATGAAAGACACTAGACAAACAAGTTGTTGCTACTGAATGAATGCAAATTTTTACATTTTTAAATGAGTCAAATGAAAAGTAAGCTGTAGAGTGAAACCAGTATCAGGGCACACATTTCAGCTACACAGTGAATAGCTGTTCAGCATGATGTACAATAATTTATTTTGTGTATGCAAGCTAATGTTTTTCACAGGGAACTATTTAGTTCTTTCAAGTCTACCTTGAAGTGCTGACACAGATCAAACTGTGGCTGGCAAACCATACAGATCTATAGGAAGAGGTGAGAAGTCATTCAAGGGACAGTAATAAACAGCATTTGGCTCTAATTTTCAGGAGTTAACAGAAATCGTGACAACGCTTACCCAGCCAATGTACAGTAAGTGTCAGCAGCTAGTAACAAAAAAAACCAAACAATTACAAAGTAACAAAACAACGGTGAGATTTCCAGATCTGGAGAAAATCATGAAACTTCTATAACTAATTAGTTACTTTATACACTGGATGCATTACGCAAACACTGCCACCAACTGTGCCTTTGATATGCGGGAAGGAGGGAGGGAGTGAGGCAGGCAGAGAGAAAAAGGGAGAGGGAGCTTTTTTTCCTGTTAGGAATTGTTTAAACCTGCCCATGCTACCATGCTTAAAAGCTTTACAGAATAAAATCTGTGCTAGCCAGTCCAGTACCAGGTATTCCAGCTTCCCCCAGGCAGCTTTCAAAGATAAAACTATACTGCCCTATGTATAGTAAAGATCCCATAACACATTATTTTACTTTTAAGAAGATTGCATTGTAAGCATCTAAATCTAGAAATGTCTTAAAAGTAGAAAAAAAAATAGGAAAAATCAGCCCACTGAAAGTTTTCAATGCAGTAAAAATGTAAAACTTTTTATCTAGGTAAAGAACAAGGGTATATGGGTGTAAATATTTATAATAGCAGGTCAGTCTTTGTTTCTCTCCATAGAATTCACTTAATTGCATATATTATTCTAAAGAGCTAGGAGGAACCATGTCCAATTAAGCACAGAAGAGTTTCTGCCATCTAGCTCTGAGCTGTTTACATTCAGGGGTTATTCTTTTGGAACTTCTAATTCATTGA